AAGCATTTATTGACAGATTCAAGGAAGAGAAGAAGGGTGAGAGGGAGGAGGTAAGGAATAATGCTCACATAATCAGTGTTGAGTGAATCAAGGGAAGAGAAAAAACAGGGAATTTTTTTAGTTTTTAAGACACTTGATACTTTACAAAGCAGTTATATGTACATTCCACATTTGTCCTTATAATGACTTGATGAAAGAGTATTATTATGTACTTTTTGAAGTGCAAAAACTGAGGCTCATAGAGATGTAGCATGGCTACAAGGTATTTGTCAGACTTGAATTAGGCCATTGTGTAGAATCTGAATTGCTATGGATTTCTTGGAGCCATTAAAATCTAATATTCTGAGAGTTACATGGTCATGGTCACTTCTTTGTCTAACCTTGATATAGTTGGAATTAGAGCTACCGGGACATAAGTATTGGTAATCAACACAAGGAACAGGAAAACGTCCTAGAAAATTAATACCAAGGGGGTAGAAAGGATATTCAGAGTAGCATTGACAAGAATAATAACGATGACCTGTAGAAATTAGTTAATAGAAATGCTAAAATGAAAGTTCCCTTTTATGGCATATTTACCTACCCATCCCAATATTTAATGCAATACAAAGCACTTTAAGATGTTCCATAAAGTCCTATGAAGTAAGCACATTAAAACATCTGCTTTGAGAGAAAGGGTCTGTGAAAAAATGTGACTGGCTTTGTATCCATGATCAGGAATGAAAAGTAAAAATTAGAAGAAATTAGATATACAAATAACTTCATTTGCTATGGTAATTTCTGTCTCACTAACTTGATAAACTAAAACAAACTGAAACTTTGTCAGGTTTCTTTGAGGTAATAGTGAAGCTCCAAAACTGAATAATGGCTATAGCTAAGAGTCTTCTAACAGTGACTATGAGAACAAACTTAAATATTTTAAGGTATTAAAATATACAGGCAAGTGCTCATTTATATTTAAAAATGTCAAGAACCTGACAGAATGAACATAGATGCAAAAATTCTCAATAAAATTCTGGCAAATCGAATACAAAAATGTATCAAAAAGATCATGTACCATGATCAAGTGGAATTCATCCCAGGGATGCAAGGTTGATTCAACATATGGAAATCAATAAAAGTAATCATCACATCAGTAGACTTAAAGATAAAAATCATATGATCATCTCAACAGATGCAAAAAACATTTAACAAAATACAGCACCCTTTTATGTTCAAAACATTAGAAAAAACTAGGGATAACAGGAACATATCTCAACATCATAAAGGCTGTCTATGCTGAGCCCCAGGCCAACATCATTATAAATGGAGAAAAATTGAAGGCATTCTCTCTAAAAACTGGAACAACACAGGGATGCCTTCTTTCACCATTTCTATTTAATATCATTCTTGAAACACTGGCCAGAGCAATTAGACTGACAAAAGAAATTAAAGGGAAAAACATAGGAAAAGAAGAACTCAAACTGGCACTATTTGCTGATGATATTATTTTATGCCTAGAAGACCCTAAAAGTTCCATCAGAAAACTTCTAGCACTAGTAAATGAATTCAGCAAAGTAGCAGGATATAAAATTAACACCCATAAATCAAAGAGATTTCTGTATATAAGTGACAAATCTACAGAATTGGAAATGAGGAAAACCACCCTATTTTCAATAGCCTAAAAAATATTTGGGAATCAACAAAAGAGGTGAAAGTTCTATATAGTGAAAATTACAGAACTCAAAGAGAGAAATCAAAGAAGACCATAGAAGATGGAAAGATCTACATTGCTCCTGGATAGGCAAAATTAATATTATCAAAATGACCATAATACCAAAAGCACTATACAGATTCCAATCAAACTTACAATGACATTTCTCATAGAGATAGAAAAAGCAATCATAAAATTTATCTGGAAAAATAAGAGACCCAGAATAGCTAAAGCAATCCTTAGCAAGGAGAGTAAAGCAGCATCACTGTACCAGACCTTAAACTATACTACAGAGCAATAGTAACAAAAACATCATGGTATTGGCACCAAAACAGACTGGTAGGCCAATGGTACAGAATAGAGGACACAGAGACTAACCCACAAAACTACAATTATCTTATATTAGACAAAGGTGCCAAGAACATGTACTGGAGAAAAGATAGCCTCTTCAACAAATGGTGCTGGGAAAACTGGAAATCTATATATAACAAAATGAGATTAAATCCCTAACTCTCATCGTGCACAAAACTCAACACAAAATAGATCAAGAATTTAGGAATAAAACCAGAGAACCTGCAACTAATAGAAGAAAAAGTAGGTCCTAATCTCCATCCTGTGGGATTAGGCCCCAACTTCTTTAATAAGACTCCTGTGGTGCAAGAATTAAATCAAGAATCATTAAATGGGATGGACTCAAACTAAAAAGTTTCTTCTCAGCAAAAGAAATGATCTGTGAAGTGAATAGAGAGCCTACATCTTGGGAGCAAAACTTTACCCTTCACACATCAGATACAGCACTAATCTCTAGGGTCCATAAAAAACTCAAAAAGCTAAGCACCCCCAAAAACAAAACAAAACAAAACAAAACAAACAACCTAATCAATAAATGAGCTAAGGACATTAACAGACACTTCTCAGAAGATGATGTACAATCAATCAACAAATACATGAAAAAATGTTAATCATCCCTAGCAATCGGAGAAATGAAAATCAAAACTACTCTAAGATTTCATCTCACTCTGGTCAGAATGGCAGTTATTATGCATACAAACAACAATAAGTATTGGAGAAGATGTGGGGGAAAAGGTACACTCATACATTGCTGGTGGGACTGCAAATTGGTGCAGCTAATATGGAAAGCAGTATGGAGATTTCTTGGAAAATTGGGGGAATCACCAATTGACCTAGCTATTTATGTCCTTGATCTATACCCAAAGCACTTAAAAACAGCATACTCCAGGGACACAGCCACATCCATGTTTATAGCAGTATAATTCACAATAGCTAAACTGTGGAACCAACCTAGATGTCCTTGAGTGGATGAATGGATAAAACAAAATGTGGCATATATACACAATGGAACATTACTCAGCAATAAAAGAGAATAAAATCATGGCATTTGCATGTAAATGGATGTAGTTAGAAAAGATAATGCTAAGTGAAGTTAGCCAATCCCCCAAAACAAATGCCTAATGTTTTTTCTGATATAAGGAGGCTGATTCATAGTGGGGTTGGGAGGCAATTCGTGGGAGGAATGGATGAACTTTAGATAGGGCAGTGGGATGGGAAGTGAAGGGAGGGGGCATGGGGTTAGAAATGATGGTGGAATGTGAGGATCATTATTATCCAAAGTACACATATGAAGACACAAATTGGTGTGAATATACTTTGTATACAACCAGAGATATGAAAAATTGTGCTCTATATGTGTAATAAGAATCATATTGCATTTCACTGTCATATATAAATTGAAAAAAATAATTTAAAAAAAGATCCCAATACAAAAAAAATGAAAAAAAAATATGATCTTTTTTGAAGGCTCTAATGAGTGGATCGCTTGTGAGGTCCTTTTACTGGTTTGAAGTACTCTTCTCCACCTATGCCTATTAGAGGAATGGGTCCTATGATTATCTACTTGGGCTAGATTCAGAGATTCAAATCAAAGGCCTACCCCTTGTACAGACCCCACTGTCAGAAAGAGATTGAGAGAAAATGAGGCAGTTTAGTTCATTTGATGCAGCAAAGCAAAAAGCATGGAGAGGGAAATTATTTCTACCTTTTAATAAACAGTTCTAATTATCATCATCAAATGTCTGCACTTTTATAAACCTAAGCTTCTCAGCCTAGCATTTATAGAAAATTTCCAAGTATCATTTGTAGATAAAAGCACAATTCAATATTTATGAATTGCTAGTTTTCTATAAATATAGACATTTGGAGACTATCTTCTCACTAGTCATTAAAATTTGAACAGAGATCAAAGCTAGAATAATATTAACAATTCCTTGCATTTGTATAGTGTTTTACATAATACTATTAATAATAGATGACATTTATTGAGCACTTAGCAAGTACCAGGCACTTTACATGTAAATTCTCATAACGAATTCTGTTTAGTTCAACAAGCATTCACTTAACACCTACTGTGTGGTACATGATTAATACTTGGCTTCTATCTTTAAAAATTCTTATTTTGTTGCACTCAATCAATGTATGCTGAATGAATAAATAAATGGATGGATGGATAAATTGGGTTCAAAGGCAGTATGAGGAATATAAATACCAGAGGCCTCTTCCCTTACTATTCACGGTCTTGAGAGGGCACTTAACTTTCTCTAGTATCATATTTTTTTAATCTACAGTACAGTGATATTTAAAATATCCTTGCAAAAGTGTGAAAGTAGTAACAGCAAAAGTAAAGAATCTGACAAAGAATGATGTCTCAGTAACTGGAGTAGTTATTACTATAATTGTCTTCATTGTCAACATTATCAGCAGCAGCAACCACAGCAGCACTCTTATTAAACAATCCTAGCCAACCCCTCCCATCCTCACTCTTATGATGGGACAAACAGAACTTTAACATCCATGAGAAATACAACTGCTGTATAAGAACATGACAAAAACCAAACAAAGTAAAAGAAATTTACTATAGTTCCCAATGTCCTCCCAGGTTATTATTCATTATCTATGCTTAGCCTAGGGAAAAAAGAAGAAAAGAGACAACTTTAATTATGCTTCTAAAGATAGCATAATAAAAGGCAAGCAGAACAGGATTATTTACATAATATCAAGCTATAAATTCATAAAAGAATGCTGGTCAGGTTGGTCATTCCAAGCATGGGATCAGGCTCCCATCAGTTTCAAAGAGTAGTACCTAGAGTATAGACAAAGCCCGTTCAGAAAATTATCTTATTCATATTTATCAGTGACAATGAGGCTGACAATTTATCTAAACAAAAGATAAATTTGAGCCCTGAGTCAAATTTTCTAACCAGGAAGGGATTCCATTCTGTGAGTCACTTACCATTTTGGTCTGCTGGTAGACTTCACCATAGGGGCCATTCCATCTCTATAAAGACTCTTGGTTTTACTGAAGTTAACAATGTTGAA